TAGAAATATGGGACTCGTTTACATTTGAATTTGTCAGAACTTGTAAAATCTTGAGGAATCACAGACCTATACCATGGTGAAACGCAGTGTCTAAAATCAATCAAGCAACATAATAGGAATCTTTCAACAAAATGAAAAATCATAACAACACAAATAACATCATTAAATACAAAAAAATGGGAGCATATGCTAGATATAACTGCTCGAAGAACGAACTGGGGGCAATTTGTCTCAAATATAAACAGTTAAACACCTTTATTTACAGTCTGGCGCAATATTCGTAAATGATCAGTAAAAAACAGATGTTACCAAGTAGCAATAGTAACTATTTCGAAGAGTTTATACAACACAAAATCATTGCAGAAAAATAATATATCGATTATGAAGATAAAAGTAATATATAGTCCTTTCCATATCCCTTTAATCTTACATAAACTAATTTAGTAACTAAATAGTTAGTTATTGAAAGATTGCTATGTATATTAAAACAAAATCAACTCCTGACTAACGAGAAGAGTGGATTTCGACAAAACCGAATTACTACGGATAATCTCATTGATTTAGAGTCCTAAATTCTTGAATAATTTGCCAACAAACAAGAAACTATTGCAATGTTACAACATTATCAGATCATGGCAGCATGGCGTTACGACATTATCAGATCACTACACACATAGAATATTAGAAGTAATATCATTAATGTCATTTCAAATTTTCTTAAAAAACGCTCATCGAGAGTCAACCACTGCACATCTTCAATGAGACATCAAACAAATATTACCCTCAAGGTTTTGTAATAAGTGCAACGCTATTTTTCTTTTCTTCTTTTTCTTTTTCCTATTTAGAAGCAATTCTGCTTGTTCATTGGCGGATTAATACCTCTATGGAAGGTTGTCACTCCATCTTTTACGCGGTCACCCGACACTTCTTCTGCCGACTGGTGACTTATCTCTTGCTATTTTGAGGACACGGGTCTCCTCCATTCTGGTTATGTGGTTATTTCATTCTTTTATTATTTCGTGTCCACTCATTTATACACTGTAAGTTACATTTTCTTCTAATGTTTTCACTTCTCTTTCGATCTCTCAGCGTATTTACTGTAAATCTTTTCAGTACTCTCATCTCTGCCGTTTTCAGCGGCCTTTGCGTTGTGGCTGTGTCGGGTCTTGTTTCTGAGGCATATCTCATTATTGGTCTTACACTGGCTTTATAAATTTTTGATTTCATCTCAGTATTAATATGTCTGTTTCGCCATATAGTGTTATTAAGGAATCCTGCCAGTCTATTTGCTTTTTGTACTTGATCTCTCACTTCTTTGTCCAGGTCTCTATAGCTAGACAGTGTAATTCCCAGGTATTTTATTTCCATTACTTGTTCAATACTGATTCCATCAATTTCTATTTTAAATCTGGTTGGTTCTTTGCTGACTTCTATTGTTTTAGTTTTTTGAGATGAGATTGTCATATATTAAATTCTTTTGCTCTTATGTTAAACCTGTGGATCAGTCTTTGCAGACTATCCTCCTCTTGGGCTATCAATATTGCCTCGTCTGCGTATCACAGTATTTTCATTTTTTTGTTTCCCATTCTGTATCATCTTCCTTTGTTAACGGTTTTAATGAGTTTATCCATGATCAAATTGAAGACCATGGGGCTAAATGAATCCCCTATCTTATTCCTCTGTCTATTTCTATAGGTTCTGTAAGTTGTTAATTTATTCTGACTTTGTTGTTTATGGTAGATGTTTTCGATGGTTTTTATAATATTTAGGAGCACTTCTTTATTATACAAAAGATGGATTACATCATGGAGTCTTACTCTGTCAAACGCTTTCTTTAGGTCAATCAGACACAGAAATGCTCGTCTATTATACTCTAGTGACTTCTCAGTAATTTGCTTTATAACGAATATTGCATCTGTACACGATCTTCCACTACGAAAACCCTGTTGTTCATCTGCTAAACTTATCCTCTGATTGATTAAAACTTGTAAAAATTTAGTTGTAAATTTTACCGTAGTAGCGTAGTAGTCCGTTCTTCCGGTATTTTATTGTGTTTAACGCTATTTTTAATTGTCATAAAAAATATTCTACCATCCAACTCTTAATTTTTTCGTGACAGATTATATGCAGATGATCTGGTGTTAGTATTTTCAGGGAATAATATTTTTTCAGTTTAGAGTCACTTACAAACCGCATTTCATGAACTCGAAAATTGGCCGAAGAAAAAATTATGTAATTTTTCACTCAGAAAATCAAATTGTTTTTAATTTTTAAAGAAAGTAATTGACATTAGGTTTTTAGGGATGATTTTCGATACGAAACTTAAATTCAAAAAACATATAATACAAATCAAAAAAACATGCCAAAATGGAATCAATCTTAAAACCCTCTCTAATAAAAACTATGGAGCAGACTATAATTGCTAAATCCATGTTTTTAAAATCCTGATTAGATTTAAACATAGATTACAGTTTTATTTTTCTTCTCTCGGAGAGAAGAAAGATAGACGCCACTGAAATGTTCTGTTGGAGACGAATGTTACGAATTCCTTGGACCGACCGTAGAACAAATAATTCATTTTTAAGAGAGCTAAAAGTTAGCCAACGACTCTCTAGTAAAGTCCATCTCCAACAATTAAAATATTTTGGGCATGTTATGAGAGCAAACACAGAAAACATGGAAAGACTCATAATACAAGGAAAGGTAGAAGGCCGAAGATCACGAGGAAGATCCCCAACAAGATGGATAGATCAAATTACAGGAATATGCCAAAGACCTAGGCATGAATTAAAAGAAATGACCAGAGACAGAGATCTCTGGAGACGGACAATACACGACATCACGTCGACAACTACACTCCCCCTGGGGGGTCAGGATTGAAGAGAGAGACAGTTTTATAGTATATGCATTTGCCAAAGAGTCCTTATTACATCACGTTTACGTTATTCGGCATTAAGAATAGGCACAGGATCATTCCGGACCAGTTTAATAGAAAGTTTGCAAGCAGAAACTGGAGAACACCACTAACAACACTAACTATCGCATATTTATTTACCGCTAACTCTAATTCGAAAAATTCAACTAGAAATAATATAGATCATTTTAAAAACTTAAATACTAAAAATCGTGAAACCACAATTCTACGAAACAGTTAGACAATCTCTCATGGCTTTACAAGAACGATACTTCCTACTCCTTCCAAATATTGAAGAAGAAATCCAACGTGAACTAATGAAATCGAACATTTGTGTTTATGCATTAAATCGGTTTTACTAAGAATAGTAAAGAAAGAAATAAATGCATATCAAGAGATGACAAATTAAGAATATACAGAATGGTTATTAGGCCTACAGTAACTTATGCAGTAGAGACATGGATATTAAATAAAAAACAACAAGAAATGGAGCAGATGTGGGAACGAAAAGTACTAAGGAAATATAATTTGGAGGTCAAATGGAGAACGGCGTTTCTATCCCTGAACCAATGAAGATCTGAGAGAATATTGGGAGCACAGTCTACTAGGTGCAATCAGAACCCTACGGGTAAGATGGCTAGAACACATACAGAGAATGTCAGAGGGTAGACTACTATTAAGTATAATAGGAGGACGTCAGAGCAAGACGGAAAATGGATGTAGAAGATTATCAAAAAGACTCAACGTCACAAATTGGAGGATGAAAGCAATGGACAATAAGGTATGGAGGAGAATGGCACTTATTATTATTACTATTACATACAAAGTTAGAGTTTGATGTTAATATAAAGAGTAAACTAAATGTAACAACAAAAACCATGTTGGGATAATATCCAAGTTTTTTCCTGGTTTTCCTTAGAAACTAGGAATGACTAACGAGAGAATTTTATGATCATGATTGGATGTGCAATCACATACTATGTTTTTTCTGAAGGGTATTCTTAAGTTAAAGTTAATTTCATGTAATCGAATGAACTGTTCTCAAATAAAGACGTCTCAATAACGCACCTTAAAAATATTGACAATATCATTTTGGTCATCTAGTTTAAAACGTATGTCTAAATTGTAAATATAAATGAGGTATACAACATTAAATTATTAGAAGAATATTTATATTACCAATTAACAAAACAAAACAATTTTTTTTAATTTTTATTTGGAGAACGATTTCTAAAGTGAAAATCGTCAAAATAAACGTATTTTCAACTGAAATTGTGATTAATTCCCATTAAAGATAGTTAGTAGAGTTAAATAAAAAAATATATTAACCTCCATCTAACGTAAAAAGCTTTATCTGTATTTTAATACTAAATTGATCGAATAGAGTGTTTAAATAGTTTTAAAACAAAAGCTAAAATATTAGGTCTTTTGTGACGATTTCTTTTGAACATTTTTAACGAAAAATTAGGAAAACTCATAGTGAGCTTTAACATTTTTTTTAATGTATACTTAATATTAATAATCAATAACAGTAGTATAATGATGACATTTTAATAAATATCTTTTATGATGTAGTATTAGTGTTTACGTGGGGACGAATCAGATCCAACGAAGAGGTTGACCTTGACCGCCTTGTGGTGATAAAGTCAAAGAGTTGGCTCTTAATTAAACGCAGTCTTCATCGCTAGATATTTGTGATTTATTTTTTATTTACCTTGCGTGTTAAGGTATACAAATTTATTGCATTCTTTTCGTGGGTTAAAAAACTCTTGAATATGAAATGGAATAATGGGATCGCATTAACACTGTTAGAATTTTATCGAGCACGATCTCCACGAAGTTAGAGTCAGTCAATTGCGATCTCGCATGATTGAATGCCTTGGCTCAAACCCTTTATTTTGATGAGGATAAGGCAAGAACGATCAATGTCATGATGATTAATATTCGCTCCTGTAATGAACGCCTTTGGTTGCCTTAGATTTGCTTAATGTATACATTTCCCAATTTTATATTAAAAACATTAAATAGTTCGGATAGTAAAACATTTTGGAATACAATGTGTTCTGGACAGTGTATAAATACCTACCGATCCATAAAGCAATCCACACCTGGCCATGCACAAATACTGACAGGTAACCACACCTTGAATTTTCATTTGACCAATTCCCACTGTCGTCCGCTGTAATATCGCTGAAACAAAGGAAAAATCATTTATATATAATCTACAATTATATATAATTTATATATAATGACCTTGTACCGGAATTATTTCTTCCCGACGTTGGACAGACTGCTAGAGCAGATACTACCAAAGTCCATATGACCACGGTTGTTTCGTCACAGCTCATCTTTGATAATTCATGCCACAGCCGTAGAAAAAACGTCAAGAAAAAATAACTCTAGACCAAGGCCTAGAAGTCCGTAAATTAATGTCTCAAAGAAAGACAGATCGTAAAGGTTATATTCTTTAATAAATTATTAACTTAATATATTCTTATTATATAAACAACAGTTCTAAATATTTAAAAACATTCTACTTTCAAAACCTCTTCCTGTGATTTCTTCAGCCCTTGTCATTGATTTCTTCAATGGCTGGTGATCAAGTGCAAGTTAGACGGCTTTATCACAGTCTTCATTTAGTCTGCCCCTCTTGGTGGAGACCTTCCTCTGGTACTTCTGCTTTCTACTTTTCTTTATACTACCAATAGTCTTCGTTCTTCTGGCTGTGTGGCCGAAGTAATTAAGGTATGCTCAATTTACTTTTTTTAATAGCCTGCTTTTATAATAAGTTCCTCCAAAATTGATAGGTTGGTACTGTATTTTGTCCAGGATATGTGTAGAATTCTTTTGTAAACCCACATTTCGAAACTTGGATCTTTTGAAACCACATCTGTAGTTTGTTTTATAGAGGACGACGTAAAATACATCAGAAGGCATGGATACCTGTCTCTTCTCTTTTGTAACAATGTGCATCGCCAGCTATCGCCCCCGTCCCGCCAACGCTTTGTACGTACACACTCCCACCGCTGACTTCCACTTCTATCGATGCTCGCTAGAGGAGATGAAGGGCCGACAATGGGATAAAACAAGAGCCGTCGTACGAGAAAATCAAGTTCTATCAGTGTTGATCTTGGAACCCTTACCGCTCTTAAAGTGTTGATCTGAGTCGGATGTTCTGTAACTAAGTATTGATTAGTCACTTCCCGCTGCTTGACGGGTCGAGTGTTGATTGATCTGTCCATCTCTAACCCATCATTACTTCTCTTCAGCTTGTGTGTATTAACACACCGTATTTTCGTTTCGGTTTTTTAAAAGAGCTATCTACCACTCTCTACTTGTCTATCTTCGTTGATACTATGATGTTTCGATGCAGTAGCCTGGCTTCTTGCTTTATGTCATTGATATTGGATGACAGAAAATAGACATAACTATGTGTGTCTTAACTATTTAACAACCACTAAAATATTTGAAAATACCTTTACTTCCAGTCTAAATTACTACAATTTGTTTTATAAAGGCATTAATTCATATTATGATGCATTTCGGCCTGGAGTTAGACCCTATTGAATAGTGTTAGAGCCAAAAATCGATTGAGCTAGAGAAAAGTAAGATCCGTAGCCAAACTTTCTACTTAACAGAGATAAAAGAGTACTAAAATGTATAATATGTACTTCAACCGTGAAATCGTGGTCTTAAAGCGTTTTAAATAATAGCTAGGAAGTTACAATATCGTCCTAATGGGGATCAAGATAAATCAGATCTCCAAAACTATCCGGACCAAATGGTGTCCTGGATTGAAATGGGTCCATAAAAGATGTCCTAATGAAACTTATAGATGAATTTCTATCTGGCTCTCTATGTGAAGGATGTCGACTTGAATAGATAGATACTTTGAGTTAATATTGACTTCAATATTACAAAGCTTTTTATCAAGCCGGATTTTCAAATATGACTAGAAATCTGTTAAGGTTAACACTTTCAGAGACCAAAAGTGGGGATATAAAGGTGATAAAAGGCTGATCAATCCTGGGCTTCAAGGTGGGCGGCCGAAAATAGAAGACTGTGTGACGTGTTTTGTCGGTAAATAAAAAGTTCGAGTAAGAATTGAACAGGCTTCACTGGAAGTTATAGTACCCACCCCATCTCTTTCCGGCTCGAGGAGATAAGAATACGGTCGGGGCCAGAAGACCCTGCCTGTCGTAAGAGGCGACTAATGGGCGGATATGAGAGATGGAGGGTCGTCGTTTGAGGTATCGGGTTGGTAGAAACGCACAGAGATGCTTAGTCATCTCAGTCACCGGTCTACATTCCTAGTATCCGAGACGAGCCTCGTGGGACCACTCTACTCTTATTTTCCACAAGAGCCGGGTGTGGTTGAACGAGCCGGGTACGTATGCACTTCCGAAAGCTGACACCGCGGAAGGGGGAGTGGGAGACTTGGCACGTACCACACGGCGGATTCCTCGGCGGCGACCTGTCTACGTGCGAGGTGGTATTCCACCACCTGCGTACCTTTCCGCCTCCGGGGGAAGGAATCACGGAAGGGTGACGTGACCCGCAACACAGGTACTACGGGGGAGGTGGAGCCCCACGATGTTTCGGCATCGTACCACCTCCAATTGGTGTCGGACTCATAGGGGCAGTGGGAGCGCTAACGGTCGTATGCCGAAAGGCCAGGTAGACCAGGGTCCTGCCAATTAATTTTGGAGGGCACAAAGCTTTTGCAAAGTACCAACCCCATCGTGGTAATATTATGCAGTTAAAGGGACATAAATATACTTAGAGAACATTGACGAACTCTGCGACAATCACTCACAATGACACAACGGTAGTAAATCAAGGCTGCCAGAGAAATCAATAATAAAACCTATAATTTAATAGGATTAAGTGAAATCAGACTAAAGGAATAAAAATATAACTAATTATTTACAGCATCGGTCACCAACCAGCCGATGGGTCATAAACGGATACTTTTAAAGTCAATCGCGGCAATCCAAAACGTATAAGTTAAAATATATACTCAATGATAATATTAATTTGTTAAAAGATACATAGAACGGATTGCGAAACGTAATCTCTAACTGCTGACCCCATCTTCTTGTATCATTATTCAGTCCTTGTTCCATTATATCATTTACCCCCTCTTCCACGCAGTAACTCTGTTTTAGTTTCGGTACGAAAGGCTACTACTGCTACACAAACCTATCCATCAAAAATATACCTACTTACATATATTATTTACTACAATAAGTACAGTATAGTACAGCATAGTTATTCGTATCAACGGCAAATGATGAGGCTACTGCTATGGCAGGTATTCACAATAGTTTTATTGCTCTTTATAACAAAGACGAAGACTTAACAGACTTCATTAACTACCACTGCCTAATTTATCAACAATTATATAGTAGTAAAAAATTAAATACAAAGCATGTGATATTTAACCACTATAAGTTAGAGGTCTTTTTGACAATTCACTCTTTGACCCCAACCCTTTATTATTTACTTCTTGAGCTATCCTCTTATCAACGATACCTTATACGTCACTATCCAACTAGCCATCTACCTTTAACAAAAATTATTCTGGCCCTGCAAAATTTATTTAAGATTTAAGAATTTTTATAAACAATTAAACGAATCTCGAAAACGAACAGAAGCGATCGGATCTTATGAAGTCTCATTCAATTTTGATTTGATGCAATAAAAATAAAAGTAATTAAAAAACACGTTTTTTGCACCTTAAAAGTGCAATAAAAAAAATATAACCGTGGAGTTGTAAACACTTGGAGGTTACTCCAGGCATTGTCCTACGCAACGATGTGCTGGTTACAAAAATTTAATAAGTAAAGCTTAAAATCATTAATATTTGTCTCTACAGCTTGGACGAACAACCGAATAAACATGGTATGTGGAGGCTGGTAAAAACTGGATTGCATAGAGATGTAAAGCTCTGGAGGAGGAAATTGTCCAAATGTGAAGTGAAAATGCTGAGTAGAGACAGAGAGAGAGAGAGACAGAGAGAGAGAGAGAGAGCATATTAATATTAAATTTTGAACGCATTGTGAATTTATCTAAAGCATATTCATAATTTAGTAAATAAATATCAAACATTAAGTGTCAACAATGAGGTGTTATCTTTTATAAAAACTGAATCAGAATTTTGAACCCAAAACAATTTATCTAATAAGTATTAATATGTTGTTAAGAATCAACAAATAAATCACTTATTTCACAGTTAAAATCTCGGTTATTATTTCCGTAACTGATAAGAAACTCTAAACATGTTAAATGTAAGAAAATTAGGATTGCTAGATCAGGGACCGTAAAGAAGTACAGTTTATTATGTCAGTATCAAGTTAAAAATATTTAGAGTTAAAGATAAAGATTTCCTAACAGCAAGGCATATTTACATATCAAGATCGGTAAATAGAGAAAAGATGTAATGATATGTTAAATTAGTTGACATTCTTTTTAAAAATCAAGTAAAATATTTACAACTGTTGAATATTAATATTTTATCAACGTTGTTTCCGTTATTAATTTAGTTTTATTCTAGTTAAAGTTGTATACACTTTATTTGGTATTGAGAGAAAGTTATAACCACTCTCTTATATAAAGTGGACAAAATATTTAATATTTAGACTGCCACCATGGGATTATATTTTTGCGGAACCCTGGGACCAATTTTTTTATTTGAAATTCTCAATATGTTTGAGTTATTATATAGGTTCATTGGCATTTTTTTTCCTAAATTTGAAATTTTTTGCCCGATTTTGCCATTTTTATGTGACGGTCTACGTTGATCCCCCATGGCCTGAAAGCATGTGTTTGGCGTTATGGCCTGTGGGGGAGCGCACGCGTGCGTCACTCGTCCTTGAAGGAAGTGGTTTCTACGATTCTCGTCGGCCCGCTCTAGTGGTAGTCGTCAGCGTTTCAGTTTGCTTTCACTTTACAGTCAGTGAAAGTTGTTGATGTTGTGTTCGACTTAGAAATGGCGGATACCTACGAAAAGAAACAAAATAAACTGAAAAAATTGTGGAAGGAGGTGCTTTCGGTTAGTGACTTTCCCCCTGATATGAGTGAATATGTGCCTTCAGACTCTGACATGTCCAGTTCAGAAGAGGATCCAGAGACACCTAGAAAAAAAAAATCAAGATTGTCCAATCTCCGGAGAAAAAATTTGACTACAC